AAATTTTGTCTTGTTGATGAGCTATAAAAGCATTGTATATGTTTTGGTTTGTAAAACATTGTATATGTTGAATGTGTTTTGGAAATACAAATATGTTATAAACATTGAAGATGTTTTGGAAAACATGAAGATGTATGTGTTGGAATTAATTGAATTTCGAAAGAATGCATGTTGGTAATGTGTGTTGAATTACATTTTGTGAAATTGTTCTCTTGAGAAAAGATGAATTGACCGGTGGATGGGTCATGGTGATAAAGGTTGAATGATAATCATTTTGAAAGTTGAATAAACATGATTTTGAAACTTGTATAAAATTTCGGAGGCGAAATTCTTTAAGGGAGGGGGAGGTTATAGCGATCTAGGTTTTACCCCGACCTTTATTGTGTTCCGGACTCGGTTTCCGTGGTTGTATACTGTTGTCTATGTCTTGTTTCTTTCCTTTTACTCTTTGTATTTGAGTTTTGGGTCGTGTTGGGTGAGTTTGGAACAGGTTGGTTGTGAGTTGATTCAAATGGTTGTTGCCTAGGTTTTGGCTTCTTCGCTTGAGCGAGGCTTTTTGCGCTCGAGCGAGCCTTGGGTTTTTGCTTCTTCTCTTGAGCGAAGGTTCTTGCGCTCGAGCGAGGATTGAGAGTCCTTAGGTTTTTTTCTTAGACGTAGCTTTCGTTTGAGCAAGACGTGTGTTATTTGATCCTTCACTCGAGCGAGCACTTTTGCGTTCGAGCGTGCGTTTGTGTTGGTGGCAGACCTGAAGCTTTGCATTGTGTGCTCGAGCGAGGCCTTTTGTTGTGTCTGGTCGCTCTATCGACAACTCCTTCACTCGAGCGAGCCTCGCATATATCAGTTCGCAGCAACGTGATTTTATATCACTTTTTACTTTCTTCTTCCCTAAAAACCCTAACTTGGCTGCCTCTCTCTCTAAAACTCTCTCTCTCTCTCTCTCTACAAATACTCCTTGTTCTAGGGTCATTCTACCCTACTCCCTTTGTTAAAAAGCTTGAGCATTGCGTGGGCTTCCCTTTGATCTGAAAAAGGTGGGATTTGAAGCATCTTTGGGTTTCTCTCTTCTTCTCCTTTGAGCTTTTCCATTTGAGGTAAGGATAAACTACTCTTTATTATGAGTTTTAACCTAGAGATGTGTCATTTTGTATAAATGGTTGGATGTAGGAAGTTTTGGTGAAGTTAGCGTTTGGGTGTTGATTTGTGAAAGAGGGGTTTTCAATTTTGAACTCCATATGTGTATGTGGGGTCTTAAAAATTGGGTTATTGGGGAATAATTGTTGAAATGGTGAGATTTAGACCATTGGGTCAATGTTTTGGAATTAGGGGAAAATGCTCTAATGTGAATTAAAGAAATTATTAGTATAAATAATGAAATCAATGTGGAAATAAGAAATTGGTTTGGGAATTATGAAATTGGGGAAAAATGTGATTAAAAAGTGTAGTTGGATTGATAAATCACACACCTATGGAAAAGTTGATGAATTATCTGTTGATAGATTTAATTATCTGTTTAGAAATATCTGTTTTGGGCTACCGGTGGAGGATAGCTATGATTGTTGTAAAAAATGCATGAGGATTAGGGAACTTGAAACTAATCAATCAGATTATGTCATTGAATATGACGGTTGGATTAAACCATTGAATATGTGATCTGATTCGTCATTGTATATGACAACGTGTTTAAATACATTGTATATGTATCTTTGTTTGGAAGGAGATAGGGGATGTACTCCATTGTATGGGAGGAGATAGGGGATGGACTCCATTGATAATTAAGTTGGCCAGAGTGTCTAGGGTGAAAGTCCTGAAATCTTATATATTATGAGTGCCGGTTCCCTCGGACGTAGTTCCGTAAAATGGCAAGAAATAGAAGTGTTGAAATGATGGATGTATTAAATTATGAACCATTGAGTTGTAGTCTTATCTTGGTTGTTTTGATAATAACGAATTTGGTTAATTGATTTTATCCGAAACGGAAGAATGGAAATGAGTTGAAATGTTGGTTAACTATATTGAATGAATTTGAAAGAAATGTGTCTGTTAAGAATATCCCTCATTGATCTGATGCTCATATTTTAGTTAATTCTCATATTTGGTTTAGCATATCTTTACTGGGTTTTGGCTCAACCTACTTAGGACACTATTTTCAGGTATAGGTGACATGCCGCCTCCAAGGTCTTAGCTTGGGAGGTTTAGGAGTTGAAGGCTCCGTTTTGTTGTTACATCTTGTGTATATATGTTTTCTTTTCAAGCCAAGAGCTCTAATTGTAAAAGAGTTAGAATTCTTCTTTTGTTGTAACCAAGTGATAACTTGGAAATCTATAAGCCCGTAGGACATTATTTTGTTGTTATCAGTTAGAAACAATTATGAATGTGTAATGTACGTAATACACTTTGTAAAGAAGACTCTGATGAATAAAAATATATTATTTCTATTATGCTTATAGACTTAATGAATGAATGATTTGAGTCTTATTTTGAGGGCTTCACAGCTTTGGTTTAAAAAGATCCAAACCAAAGAAAAAAAAATACTAAAAACTTAAAAATTAATAAATTAAAAAAATTATTATTTTCTTTACTTTTTATCCATCTTTTTGTAAAAGTTCAAAATCTTATTACTAAGAAGTTCAATTTTTTTCATCTTATTATATTTTAATTAAAATCACAAAAATTATTTCTTAAACGAATCATAGTAACTTGATTTTTAGGCTAAAAAAATAAAAATAAAAATAAAAAGTCAAAAAAATATTTGAAAAGTAAATCAAATAAGTCAGTTATTCACATTTTTTCAATATAATTAAAAAAATCATTTTTAAATACATTAAAAAATTTATTTTATAAAAAATGAAAAAAATCATTAAAGATGTGAAATTCCAAAAGACCAGTAAGTATTCATTTGGGATGTGGGTTGATTTTTTGACATTTTGATTTTTTGACTATTTTTGTCTAGGGCTAAAAAGTCTCGTCTGCGATACGTTTTTTGGCTTTTTTGATTTTTATGGGAGAAAAAATGAAATGATTATGATTTGAATGTGATATTTTGTCTTATTGAGATAAAAATTCTATTTTGTCTTTATATAATTAAAATAGTCAAAAAGTTAAAAAATTTGACATGCCAAACGAAACATAAATAGTATATCTTTATTTGTTTGTTGATGTGCTTTGGAAAGCGATGTTGCACCATTTGGTTTTGGTCATCATTGGAATTATTCGATGCCTACGGTATTATCATCCCTCAACTTCCAATGTTATATTTATTTGAGGGGATGTAGGAGTGTTTTGGGAAGATATTTAAAAGTTATTTTTTAGTTTTTTTTTTGAATTTTTTATGAGAGAGGGAAGTGGGTTAAAAGTTAAGAAGTGATTTTTAACCCACTTCCCAAAATAGATTGTACTAATTTTAATTATTCATATGTGCACGAATCTATTAGAAAATAGAAAGGTAAGAATAAGGTCGAACAAATTCTAGGACTGGAGAATAATCAATTAATTTTAAAATAAATTATCTAATCCAGTTGAATAATTCTTGAATTTTAATAAAATAAAAAATTATAAAATTGTAAGATATTGAAAATGATTTAATCAAATAAATAAAATACTAAGACAATGCAATCTATCATATACATCATATTCATAATAATAAAATACTAGGACAGTGGAATCTATCACATACATCATATTCATCATATTCATATTGAAAATGCGGTAATAACTTTCAGAACTTCAAGGGGTGAAATATAATTGGATCAAATCTCAGGGGATGTCAATATAATTTATCCAATTTATTTTGTATGAAATTTATATTAAAATAATTACCATTTAAAAATAAGAAACATCCTATTAAAATTTCGCTTTAAACCTCGTTGATAGCTTCTCACAGTGATGTAAGAGTGTTTTGGGAAGATGGTTAAATTTTATTTTATTTTTTTGACTTTTTTTTGTAAGAGAGGAAAGTAAATTAAAAACTGAGAAGTGGCTTTTAACTCATTTCCCAAAATAGGTTGTACTGATTTTAATTATTCATACGTGCACGAATCTATTGGAATATAGACAAGTAAAAATAAGGTCGAACAAATTCTAAGACAGTGGAATAATCAATTAATTTAAAATAAATTATCTAATCCAGTTGAATAAATTCTTGAATTTTAATAAAATAAAAAATAATAAAATTGTAAATATTGAAAATGATTTAATCAAATAAATAAAACACTAAGACAATGCAATCTATCACATACATCATATTCTTAATAATAAAATACTAAGACAGGGGAATCTAATACTAAGACAGGGGAATCTATCACATACTCATATTCATCATATTCATATTTGAAAATATGGTAATAACTTTCAATACTTCAAGGGTGAAATATAATTAGACCAAATTTTAGGATATGTTAGTATAATTTATCCAATTTATTTTGAATGAAATTTATATTAGAAAAATATTTGAGAACTTGAAATTCCCGAGGTCCAAATAGCCCGAATTCAAAACGATGTGGTTTTGATTTTTTTTTTCTTTTTTTTTTTCTCTCTTTTATCTGTCAAGCAGAGGTAGATTCCGAGCCCGAATTCAATACGACGTGGTTTTGATTTTTTTTTTTAATTTCTTTTTTCTCTCTTTTATCTGTCAAACCGAGGAAGAGAGTAAGAGAGCGAAGAAAGGGAGAGAGAAGAAAGGGGAGCCGATCTTCTCACGCCGTAGCCGTAGCCGTAGCCATAGCCGTCGCCATCGCCGTTGCGGTCGCCGCCTCCTCCTCCTCCTCCTCTTTCGTCACTGCTGCGACCACCACTGACGCCGCTACACCACCTCCGTCGCCGCCCTCTCTCTTCTACTCTTCTCTTTTTCTATATGCATATGTGTGTGTGTGTGTTCCATGTTGATTTTCCAGATCTGTACATATGTGTGTGTTTTTCATGGATTTGTGGGTTTGATTTGTTTCATGGATTTGGCTTTGATTTTCATTCCAGATTTGGCTTCTCCCCTATCTCTTTCCTCTCCTCTTTCTTCTTTCTTCTTCCTTCTTCTTTTGTGAGTCATGGAAAGGAAAAAGAAAAGAAAAAAAAAAAGAAAAAGAAAAAAGAAGCCAAGACGACATGACCTAGCGGGACTGACCATGTATATACAATTTGTGCTTATAGAATTATACTAATCATTGTTTGAGATTGACTTTTTTGGTAACTTTTTTTAATGTTTTTTAGAAACTGAAAAATTATTGCCATATTTGAAAAGTTGCTAAAGAAAAATTATTGCTATATTTGAAAAGTTGCTAAAAAAAATTATTCGTGAAAAATTTGACTTGGAGCCAAACACCCACTCAATCTCTATATATATTTGCTTGGAGCCAAGTCTCTCCCAATACTAAAGTGCAAGTTATTCCACTGCACTGCCCAACTTGTTTCAAAGGCTATGGATAAGGTTTTTTTAAAGACGCTTTTCTTTGCCATCCTCCTTGTGTCTGTGTCTGGTTAGTCTCTCTCTCTGTCTCTCCCATAAATTTGTGGAATATGAATTACTCCATAATGAATGTGGTCTATAAATTTAATTTGTTGAATGATTTTTCTCAGTACATAGTGGTGCTGAAACACCTAATTAGTCACTAATCACTAGTCCAGCTGCACTGTGTTGTAAGAAAACTGAGAAGCAAGCGAGCAAGCAATTAAACACTCCCATATACCTATCTTGATCCCCTGCAAGTATCAATTAGCAGTATAGCACTTTAAATGATCTCTCATTCACTTTTACATATCAGAATTACAGTATATTCTTGACAATGACTTCTTCTTTCAGCTCTGCTCTTGTATGTCATCTCATTAATTTTTTTTTTCTTTTAGAATCTCTTTTAACAGTCAGTCGTCTAGCTGGTATAGAATGTTAGAATTTATCTATAAATACATACATACATACAGACCATCTCTTCTGGTAAAAAACCACCCGTATTCATTATGGGTACGCTAATTCTTTTTTTACTTTTGCTGTCTTCTTCTTCTTGTTCTCTTCCGTTCATGACTCAAGCATCCGCGTTGTTTGTGTTCGGAGATTCAACTGTGGACGCAGGAGACAACAAGATTGAAAGTTGTATCACGGAACACTTTTACCCTTACGGTGTCGACTACAACAATCAATACACCGGCCGCTTTACAAATGGATTAACTGCCGATTTCGTGGGTACCTTACTTACTTACTTACCTAACATTATTTTCAAGTTTCCTTGAGTTTTGTTTTTGCTGTGAAGGTTATTGTGCATTGGTGTTTTAGGTGTTATTTTTCATGAGTGTTTGTTTCTGTTGCAACCTTGCCAAATATTGGTGTCTTTCTGTTGAAGTTTTTTTTTTTTTTTTTTTGTTTTTTTTGGGTGGTTCTTTCTCTCCCTTTTCATTATCTGGCTATACTCTTTTCAAATTGGATCTGTTGCCAGTAAAGATTTCATTTTCCATATAAAAAAAAAATTGAAAAAAAAGAGGAAAAGATTACACTGACCAATTCGATTGTAAAATCTGTAAGAATATATGGAAACCATTATCTATAGTTGTAATGTTTTGTTATATGTATATTTCTCAATTTTCAAAAATCGTAAAATTAAAAGTTTTAAATTAATATTTTGGAGATATCTTAAATTTTCCTTTTAAATTTTTTTAGAGAGAATAGATTTAGGAAAATCAAGAAAGGAATTTTTTATTTTTTATTTTAAAAATCAAAACTAATGAGATAATTAATATTTTTTTATAATTATTGGTTTGATGGGTTAGTCAGTAGCTTTTTTAAAAAAATTAATTTTCAATTGAAAAATTTAGATATTTAGTTAAAAATATTGGAGTTCCCAAATGATCACTTTTGGTTAATATATAGTATAGATATTCACTTTTTGTTTTACCAATAATAATTTCATTTTTTCTATAAAAAAAATAAAAAGATTACCCAATCAGTTGTAAAATCTGTTGGAATATGTCAATAGTTGTAAATGAAATATATAGGGTTAAAATCAACATAAAAAATAGTAGGAAATATTTTTAAAAACTAACATTACATATCGAATTAAATTTATTATGGAAGGCAAAACTAGTCAACACCTTCCAAGGCACTTTATATGGCATAAAATCAATCAGTGGAACCTTTTACTATTTTATTTTATTTTTTTAAATTTTATTTTAAAGTAGTAAAAATCAATATTTACTATATGGAAAAATTAGTGAAACATTACTCTCTAATTTCTGGTAGTAAGAGGGATCCAATATGATTTTTCTTATTAGTTAAGGTTTCTCAATAATATTATTAGAGAAATTTCAGTTTGTCATTCAGAAATTTCACAAATTTGTGATTTGTAAGATCACTTATATAAGTTCATGAAAATTTACGTAATTTTTTGTAAAGTTACATATGGTGTTATGGTGTATATTACATACCAGACTTCTTTTATCAACTCTACTCTTGTATGTCTATCTATCTCATTAATTTTTTTTGTTTTTTTGTTTTAAAATCTCTTTTAATAGCCAGTCGCCGAGCTGGTATAGAATGTTAGAATTTATCTATAAATACATACATACATACATACAGACCATCTCTTCTGGCAAAAAACCACCCATATTCATCACGGGTAAACTAATTCTTGTTTTACTTTTGCTTTCTTCTTCCTCTTCTTCTCTTCCGTTCATGACTCAAGCATCCACATCGTTTCCTGCGTTGTTTGTGTTCGGAGATTCAACTGTTGACGCAGGAAACAACAACAAGATTGAAAGGGGTATCACAGCAAACTTTTACTCTTATGGTGTCGACTACAACAATCAATCCACCGGCCGCTTTACAAATGGATTAACTGCCGCTGATTTCATGGGTACCTTACTTACTACTACAACAATCAATCCATCGGCCGCTCTGCCGCTGATTTCATGGGTACCTTACTTACCTACCTAACATTATTTTCAAGTTTCCTTGAGTTTTGTTTTTGCTGTGAAGGTTATTGTGTATTGGTGTTTTAGGTGTGATTTTTCATAGGTGTTTGTTTCTGTTGGAACCTTGCCAAATATTGGTGTCTTTCTGTTGAGGTTTTTTTTTTTTTTGGGTGGTTCTCTCTCTCCCTCTTCATTATCTGGCTATATTTTTACATTTCCAGTTAATAAAATTTCCTTTTGCCAAACCAAAAAAAAAAAGGTAACTTATTATTAGTACTAGTACTATATTCTCTGATTATAGTTTTTTCTTGATTCTCCCTCATACATTTGTTGATCTTATTATTATGGTTTCTTTGCAGCTTTCTCTCTTGTAGATGTGCCACCGCGTCCTGCTTACCACAACTTGACAGAGAGTGACAGAAAAAGAACTACCATCGCCATGGCTGGGATCAATTATGGGTCTTCTGGATGTGGTATCTTTACCACCACCAGACCCCGTGAGGTGAATGAAAAAAAAAATATGTAGTTTTTTTTTTTCTTCCTTCCACTCCTTTTTAATCCGTGACCTATTTTGGTTCATTTTCTTTTCTTTTCTCAGAGTGAATGCTTCAATTTAGAACAACAGATCGACTTCTTTAAGGAGACTGTACAAGAAGACTTGCCATATTTGATTCCAGACCCTGATGCTCGCAAACAGTATCTTGCCAAATCTATCTTTTGTCATTTCCATGGGAGCCAATGACTACTTTTTCACTTATCCTAAATCAAACACAAAGGTCCTCAATCTTTCCTCCTTTCTTCTTCTTTTTCTTTTCTTTTTTTCTTCTTCTGTACTATTACTGTAAGGAATCTTAACGACTAGAATTTCATTTATTTGTAGGACCCTAATGTAGTGACCCACATTTCATGTTCTCATCATGTTCATGAGCATCTGTATGATTATGGAGTTTGCAATCTCTCTCATCTTTGAGTTGAAGATCTACTTAGACGTAAGTAATCTTCTATTAGAGCGATCGATGTACCTAAGACTGCTGTTTACAATGTGTGTAGGGTGTTTGGAATTATTTTATTTTATTTTTTTTAAATATTTTTTGTTGACTTATTTTTGTGTGAACTTGTTTTAAAATTTTTCAAAAATATTTAGGCTTCTGATTCTACTCAAATGAGACGAATCCAAAAATTAAAAAGAAAAAAAATTGAAAGCAATTCATAAAAGTTAAAAGCGAGTTTTTAAGCTTATCTTGGAATTTTAATCTTTATTTGGAATTTTTCAAAAATGTTTTACTTTTTAAATTTGTCTACATTGACATAATTTACATAAAAAAAAAAAAAAGTCACTAAAAGTAAAAATACTCGAAAAAAGATGTCACCCTTTTATTTATTTGCTCCCAAACAAATTAAATCCCTTCTTCAATTTTTTTTTTTTTTTTTTTGGCAGATATTATATGAGATCGGAGCCAGACATTTCATCGTGAACAACATAGGTCCTCTTGGGTGTTTGCCATCTCTTAGATACAAGACTATTTCTGGGCAGTGCGATGAAGACATGAACAATCTTATCATGCCATACAACTATCGGCTTCCTAAGTGGCTTAAAACTTGGACTCATTATGATTACAGTGGTAGTGGTATCACCTTTGTCTTGGCAGATAGCTATGGTCTTCTTAATCATATGGTCTACCACCCTCAAGAATTTGGTAATATAATTTATTTATATATTTAATTTGTTACGGTTTTGGAGTCAGAAAAATGAACACAGTTTGTTCATTATCTTTTTCTTCTGTTGTTGTAGGGTTTAAAGATGTAAAACACCCATGTTGCGGACAGGATGTAAATGGGGAATTAGAGTGCCCCCCCAACGCCACTCCGTGTAGCAACAGAGATGAATATCTCTTCTTTGATGGTGCACATACCAGCCAAGTGGCCAATCTTGAATTCGCCCTATTATGCGCCAATGCAACAATCTGCAGAGTTATTGAATAAACATGTTTATGAAGTGTTTGGGATGAAAAAGAAGCTCTCTTTTTTGTTGAAGTTATGGGGACAACAATTAATTGAATGGTGAAATATTTAGTATTTTTTTAGGGTTGTGAACATTTCTTATCTTTTCTATACCATTTATCTTTTTGGGCAATTACCATTATGTAGTTTTTAGAAAAAATTATTTACAGATGTGTTTGGTTTTCTGCTTCATAGAGTATACATAATTTCCTATGGATGAGTAAGATGGATAATTGGATTTACTAATCAAAAAAATAATGTTATACACAAATAAATTTCTTGTTTTTGTAATTTCTAAACACAAAGTTAATGAAACTCACATAAACTCATTGTGTCTAATAATAAGAAAATAATGTTAAAAAATCTATTTATATGTAGTATTTTCTACAAGTATTGGGTAGGCCTTGAGGGTTGCCAGCCAGTGTGGTCCTTTGGCCACCAACTAACTATTAACCTTACTAAATATGTGTATTTTTTGTATAAATATATTATTATACTATAATATTTTAATATTAAATTATTTTTATATAAAAGAATTGTGGGTGAAAACGAATGGTGAAGAATAAGAAAAATTAATGGTGAAAGAAATATCATACTATTTAAAGTACTGCACTAAATTAGGTAGGACAAAAGGAGGGCAAAATAGTTTTTTTTTTCCTTCAAGATAGTCTTCCATCCATGTGATTCACAGGGTTTGTTTGTCACAATTTATAAGAGTTGATTATAACTTATTTTAATTTAAAAATTTGTACTAAATTATTTGGTATTATTTTTGCTTATAACTTTTTAGGCAGAAATAAGTTAAATAAATTAAAAAAGTCTGATTATATAAAACCTATGAGAGGAGTGTTTTTTATTTCTACTTTCTAATTATCAATTTTTAACTTTTTTTTTAATCAGCAAAAATAAATTTTATTGAATTAGAACCAAGGATAAATCTATACATCTTACATCAATAAAGATTGACAAAAGCAGTGCTAATAGCATCATAGTAGATCTTACTCACCCCAACTAGATTGGCACAGAGTCATGGCCATAAATGCCTACATGAATTTACTGAATTAAACAATATAATTGTCACGCCCCAATTTTAATTACTCGGAAATATTACCAAAGCCTTAAAATTAGGTCCATTTTTTTTTTTAAACATCCATTACCCTTGAGTAATAGAAATACAATGATATATGTTTTCTCTCTCTCAATGAACATTACAATGATAACAATACATGTCAATCTCCTACTGTGAAGCTACAAATGAATAAAATACAAATACATGATCCATCACATCTACAATGAAATTACATATAAAAGATACGGACTTCTTAACTCTTCAATTAAGGAATCCAAACTTTCTTCCTGTAAAAAGGTAAAACAACAAGGGGTGAGCACTAATGCCCAGTAAGAATCTCATAATTCTAAATCAATAACTAGCATACAGATAGAATGATAATGCATGTAAGGTGATACAATATAGTAGGATGACATTTTATAATTTCAAAACACCATAAATCCTTGTGAAACAAACATGTTTAAGAAACAACCTCATTTAAAAAGATCATTAACCAATTCTCAAAATATTCCTTATTTCATTTCTATTTTCCCCTTATACTATTTCCAATAACTATAACTCCATAATGTCAAGATCCAATTCCCTTTATGTTAAAAAAGGAGACAATCCTCATACACTCAACTTCAACTTGCCCAACAATTACCTCACATTAACGTTTGCATTACCAAATAGAATACAAGCATAACACAAGAATAACAATCTGTTAAAATCCACCTACTCTCCACCTACTTCACCCACTTAAATATCAATCAATAATACAATCATTTCTCTTTATACATTAAATTTCTACACAATCCCTTTTTAATTCAATTTCTCTATTATTTACAAAACAAAATTCATAATCTCCATTATAATCACAAGCAATCCATTGAGTGTATCAATACCAATCCCTAATTCAATTACCATTTCATTTTCCATTCTTTTAATTAATTTCATATCAAACACCGGATCCAATAACAAGTCATCTCCATGAGACACACACTTTGTCGGTCACAAGCCGGAAGGAATGCGGAACTTCACGCTTTACCGGTCACAAGCCGGAAGGAAGGCGGAACCTCAACACACTACACTTTACCGGGCGCTACTCCAGAAGGAAGGCGGAACCTATCTCAAGCGCCACGCTTTGCCGGCTCAAAATACGGCGGGAAACGGACCCCAAGATAACATCACAATCCATCATTACAAGTAGTGGACAATGCTAACACATTTTCCATTATTTCCGTAACACATTAATTCAATATGCATCCACCATATATTAAAATTTCATTCACATAACAAGTACAAATATGTTCCACGACCTTCATCATTATCCATTAAATTATTCATTGTTTTGTCACACAAAAATATAACAACACATCCATAGGGGCAAAGATTCATTTTTAAAGTGTTCACAATTCTTGGATTCAAACTATTTCTTTACTTTTCCAGATTATTATCAAGTCTTCAAATTTAATTTTTAAAACACATTGGTTATCAATTACTACCTACGGTTATCAATTATCTCCAACATTTAATTTCTTTGATACAACTCCTTCATATAACATCGTCATTTCACAATCTCCCATTTATCATTATTCACACTCATCTTAAACTCAACATAGACTTAATTTCATAAATTTAATGTTGATTGAAGTATCCTCATTTTCCAAAATAAAGCTTCATAACTAGAATTAAGTATAAAGTTGGACTTTTAGTTTTGAGGTATAAAATCACTTTCTAATTACACAATAAAATTCTTAAATCTTCACTTCATCATCTTATCACAAATTCCGTATCATCTTTCAACTCCCCCCGAGGGTACCAACACAACACCACCCAACACAACTCATCTCAAACTCAACATGACCCAACACAACACAACTCAAACTCAACACACTCAACACAACTCAACTCAACACAATTCAACATGATTCAAACATAATCAACACAATTCAACATAATCAACACTATTTAACATAATTCAAGGTGAATTCTTAAACATTTATTTCATCATTTCACCCGAAGGCTCATGTCATCCATATCATTAATAAATCATTTCCCCAATCTTCATTTCACATTATAGCATAATTTACAATATCCATAACAAAGGTTCAATCGCTAATTTTTAACATAATTTTCAAACACATCCAAAATCCAATTAAACTTTCAACCTTTTAATTTCATGATTCTACTTTCAATTTGGGCAAAATCATTAATTATCATCATGAATCAACCTAGGGTTTTCAAGAAAAATTCAAGAAAAATTAAAACTTCTCTCACCACTACTTTTAATTCTAATTTTTCCCTTGATTACACACCTAAGGTTCATAATCTACTATATTAACCCAACAATTGAACCCCCAACATTTCAAACCCTAAATCCCCAAATTCCATGATATAACACTATATGTTCAAAAATTGAGAGTTTGTATTTATATAATCAAAATACCACAAATCTATATATTAATGCAAGTATTGAAGAAGAACTAGGACCCCTACCTCAATAATCAAGCAAAAAGCAAAGCTTTGATGAGATTCCTTCACAAATCCAAATTCCAATCGGTAGAAATTTTTGAGCTTCAAGCCTTCTTCACTTTTTGGCAAGGGATCTTGGCCAAATCTTAGAGGAATGGAAGGTATTTGGGGTCAAAAACGTAGGGTTTTCAGCCCTAGGGTGAGAGGAATGAATAAGGAAAAGGAAAATGCAAAGAATGAGCCAAAAAAATCGCATTTTAAGCTGCTGAATTCGCGCAATCTGCTCGAGCGCCGCTTTTCCAGCTCGAGCGGACCTGTTTCCAGCACAGATTCCAAAACTTCAAACGGGCATAACTCTCTCATCCGGACTCCGTTCTAGGTCGTTCTTGTGTCCAAATCGAAGCCCTGGAAATAAGTTTTCCAATGGTTCTAGCCTCACATCTAAATTCAAAGTGTGGAAAAAGAAAAGGGCAAAAGAGTGACGGCTGTTCGTAAGAAAAGTTATCCGAATTAAATTATCAGTTCACTCTTACTTTACCATCATGCTACCACTTCGATCAATACCCCAAAATAAAATAAGGAGGTTCCAAATACACTAATAAAAATGTCAAGGGCAATCTCACTTTCCACGCTCGAGCGTCGATTTCCACGCTCGAGCGCGTGGACCAACAATGCTGTCCGCTCGAGTGACCACCCCTACGCTCGAGCGAAAATTCACAACTCTCAGAATTTCGGACCGTCTGCAAAAATACTGAGAACCTCTCAAGTCCGTTCGAGCGTCAACTCCCCCGCTCGAGCGGAGGGAAAAATTCCGGATTGCTAAAATAGTTACCATATGATTTCTTCAAAGTGAAAGTTGGGACATGCAACAAAGTGAAAAGTACTGTTGGTAATGCACTAATGGAACCTTTAATGAGCAAAATCTAAAGAGTTCACTAAGTAAATTATTAGGCAAGGTAAAGCAAATGGTTGCTATAATTCAATCATTTTATTACCAGTATCCAGTGGTTCCCACAATTAACAAATCATGGATGCTTGACTTTGTATTTGAGCATTAGCATAATCATAGCTTGCAGTGCATGCACTTGTCTGATGAACACTTTGATAAACATGCAACTTATTGCAAACATACTAAAGTTGACTACTATGAATCCAATAACATGGAATGTTGTACCATTGAGATAATCAACATTGACAATGTCATTCGGTGGGAGTGTTCTGACCTTAAACTTGGAGCACTTATGGATTGTGTGAAGAACCATCCCTGTTTGCAACCGTAGCCAGAGTAGATCAACTGTGAAAAATGGAAGAATCACTTTAAAACTTGCATGCTTATGCCCAGTATGTGTTATGCATTAAGCATATCAACAAAATTTAATTACTAAAAAAATTCAACAATCAATATCCATGTTGTAATTCGCACATCTAAACAACATAGAGAAGTTGAATTTCAATCAATCCAGAAAAAATGCAGAGAAACCAAATTTGCAAATATCATAGACAGTACAAAGCAAAGCAATTGCATCAGTACAAATATACATGAATCAAAAGAAAATTTGCAATAGCTTTTGGTTATTGAAATCCTAACCAAGAATAACAGGGTGAACCAACCCAAGGACATAAGTATAATTGGTACCCTTTGTGCTTCATTGATTAAAGTCATTTCCATTAATCCTCTGAGATGTTCCCTAACAATCTATAAATCAGGGCATTTTGGAGCATCCAATTCCACCTTGGTAATAATGTTTTTGTCGTGTGGCTGTCTCATGGATATATAACGGTCTAGCTTTCTCACAGAAAAATAGTTTACCAAGGTGGAATTGAATTTGGGGCTCTACCCCCCTCTGGAACCACCATTGAGCATGGGGCTCAACATGGTACAAACAGATGATGGGAAGTTCAAAGCTCTCCCCTATGGCTCACCAAACCCTCCTAGTCACAAGAAGCTTAAAAAGTGAAACATATGGGTAGGTCAAAAGCAAAGGCCGAGTAGAGAGCTTTGATTCATAAACCGCGTGAGATGATATAGGTCAAGTTGTGATGTATATTGCTGCTAACTGGCCCCGTTTGTTTTCAGGGGTAGAATGGAGGGGATTCATAGTGAGGGGATTAAGTAAAATTGTGTTTGTTTTGATGATAGTTGTTAGTGTATGAATTGTTAAATTATTTTTATATAAAATAATAAAACAAATAAAAAAAATATAAAAAATTAAACATTAATATTTAAAAAAAATTCCCAATATATAAAAAATAAAAAAATTTCTAATCCCCTCACTATTTTTTTAATACCATCCCCACCTCCACCTCCTCCTCCTCCTCCATCTCAATCCCCCTTCCAACCTCCATCTATATCCCTTCTCCATCTCAATCTCTTCCCCAAATCTACAAACAAACACAATATTAAATGGATCCCACCTTTATCATAATCCCATCCCTCCCTTTACACCCCAAAACAAACGGGCCTACATGATAGTAATTCATTACTAAATGTCCAATTTTAACGCTAAAAATATAACAATCATAATTTTGGCAACTAAAATATTTCGTCTAAAAAGTGATTTGATCTAAAATCCTAATTTTGATGATCATCATGCTAAGGGAATGACTCCCCTCCCCTCCATGCTTGAATACTCTGAACTCTATTTTATGGGCTCCACAGCGATTATTCAAACAATTTCAACTCGTAGACTTAGTAATAAAAATGAGTTGCGTAAAAAAACAATTTTATCAAATATTGTTAGATGCACGAACAAATAGCATTTTATTTTTTTAAATGGACAATAGTTATGAGTTAAAATTTAAATCATTTATTTTATTAAACAAATTGCGATTTATTCATCTACTCATTGATATCCGATAAAGTTGACTTTTTGCACAGATAGTCTTCACTGCCTAATTTATGAAATAAATGATTCAGATTATTATTGTGGAACTAGAATGAGACTTACAAAATAAATTATATAAAGAAATGTGGAGGATAATGTATGGAGATGAGTCTTTTCTTAATATTCAAAACCTAAAACAAAAAATTCAATTAAATTAACAAACAAAAAATAAGCAGTTAACTTGATACGACCCTAACATGTAATTTTGATGTCACATTAATTATTAGTCATTCTGTCATCAAATAAAAATCGGATTTAACTGAATCGTGATAAATTTTGTTGAAACATAAACTTAATATTATTTCTTGAAATCAAAATTCTAATTCTGTCAACTGTTGTTCATCAAACTCTGTTTAAGATAAGATAGTAAATTGATATTTATGCATACGTTGACATGTAATCACTCATGACGTTTTTCCAAGACCACAAAGGTCCAAAAGGATGAACCCTATCTTCCTATGGCATTGTTGAAACAAAAATATTTGAAAGTTCTAAATCAAGAGCTCTAAAAGAACTCTTATGAGTGGAGGTTATCAATTATGTGTTTTTTTGGTCTTCTCCTTTTTTTTTTTCTTTTTTCTTTTTTTTCTTAGAAAAATGCGGCAGACCCCCACCAAAACCGACCCCCAGTGACCCCCCAGTGCCACGTGGCACTGGGGGGTCACTGGGGGTCGGTTTTGGTGGGGGTCTGCCGCATTTTTCTAAGAAAAAAAAGAAAAAAGAAAAAAAAAA